ATAAAATCGCACTAAATCTACACTCCCTATAATTAAGTTAATAATACCTCACATATTTCTCGTATTATGGCAAATAAGATATGGAAGTCTGTTAAATATGCTAAATACTTTAACTAGGTAGTAAGAGTGTAATATAATTCTATTTATCTCGTCCCTGGTGTAATTTCCTCGAACCAGATTTGACCAAATTGTGTGCAAAGTAAGTGACGGTTTAATTTTTATATTGCGTACCATAAATGACAATGCGTAAACTGTAGAATATTTGAGCACGAAAAGTTGTATTTATAAAAATATTTTATATATTTTTATACAAAAAAAATAAACATTCAAGTCTAAATTTACTATAAATATCTTAATATGACTATCAAACAATAAAATCTATAAAATGATTTAATTTATGTCATGAAAATATAACATTATATGCTATTAATATAATTTAAAGCGATTAGTTTTAAGTCCGTATCAATCTTTTTTTATTATTTTTCACAAACATGACCATAGGACATGAGAGAAAAAATGAGTTTGAGTTTTTGTAATTTTGTTCTTTTGATAGTGTAGCGTGAATATAGCGTACAAAAAGCGTAAAATAACTTAAAAAGGCATAGATAGCATGCCAAATCATCATTTAGAGTAGGTATTTTGGGCAACAGAAATTCTATGGAGCCAGCCCGTTGACTTTCTAATTTTTATGGAGTCATTCATAGTTTGCTATACTGACAAATTTTCAATGCGTATTTATTATAGGACATGTGTCAATACAACGTTTGTAAATAACTGTGGATCTCCATAAGCCAAGCCTCCGATGGTTCCATAACAAAACCGTTTTAGGCAAAATGCAAAATTTTAAATGCTATGTATATTCAGTACGTTTGCTCCCTTTTGCGCAATGTAGCGCTCTACAAAAGTTTTTTTTGCTCCACTTTGCGCAACGTAGCGCTCTACAAACGTTTTTAAAAACAGTGGTGGTAAATTAGTAAGTCAAAATTGGGGTTTTAAAATGTGAAAAGAAAAAAAAAAAAAAAAAAAAAAAAAAAAAAAAAAAAAAACAAACAAACAATTTTCAAATTCAGAACGTCAAAACTATTTTAAAATGATGAAATTTAATTATAAGCAAAAAAATAAGTTAAATAGTAGAAAACATTTAGTTTAAATAACTCAAGATTAGTTGGACTCGAATTGGTCAAGATTCGTCTCTCGAGCCAGTGGCCGAAGGGGGATGCGTCACTCGGCTGGCCGGACTCACTGGGACGCGGTTCATCTCGATTATAACGTAACTTTTACTCCCTTGATTTTGGTTTTTTATTTGAATTTTCTTACTCATGTTGTGATATTCACTCACCTCCACTGAATAGCAGTATATTCTTTCCCTATAAATTTATATATTCCTTTTTTTTTTTCAGAGTCGAACATCAAGATGTTCATACTCTGCAAAACCAACAACCAAAAGCACAACAAGAAAGAAAGCAACTAAACGTCCAAATCAAAGGACTGTTAAGAACAAAAACACACAGTTAACAATTAACATTTTTGTAGAATCCTGTTTTAGATTTGTTAGCTTGAATGAATCAAATCATCGCAACTTTTACAAGGGTCAACGGAGTTAGTTTATAGCAATTTTTAAGTTCCGTTATTCATCTCATCTTTCTACACAGCAAAACAGTAAAGTTATACAAATTCTTGTTTGAGGCAGTCTGATCGTTCAGCTATTGTGTACACAACAGACATTTTAGACGCAAATTTAATCAGATAAAATCAACCATTACTTTCAACAAAGTAATTACAATAAAATCTGAATTTATAGCTGGAGAATGTACAACAATAACAGCAAATTTCACCACGCATGTGTTGCCTTTGTCACGCCAAGAGTAACGGCAAGTGCAGCTAGCAGAGCCTGCAAGTTTTCATCAAAGGTTATGCATATTTTGATACCCTTAGCAAAATATTTCGTTTAAAGTTGTTAGATGGAATGCGTGAAAATCAGAAATACATTTAATTCGTGATGATTCGAAACTAGACCGAAACGCAATTTAGTCCATAAAAAAATTAGACGAGATATTCTAGTGGACCAATACAATACTGTAAGTGAATATAATAACCAAGCAACTAACTAGCTGCAAATATTCCGTTGATATCAATAATAATTAAAAAAAAAAAAGGGAAGTGTATGGTGAAAAAGGGAGATGCTACATTTAGAAGACAGTCTGGAATATAATTTTCAAGCGAAAAGAGGTGATGCTACAATCAGTTGCAGTTTTTGAAAAAATGTTTCGATAATCAGTAGATGGCTCTGCAATATGACCTATAAAACAAAGAAAATTCAAAAGTGTCTGAAAATAGATTGTGTACCGCTATAGTACATGCAATGAGGCCAGGCTTCTCTCGATAGTCCAAACGAACACATAAAAGCAGAAAAGCTCCAATGTACCAGGGAATTGCGCCCAGAAAGAAACCAGTGATAAACCTTACGAAAAAAGCCGAGGTAAAATCACAACCAAATCACATTTCGCTAAAAGGATTAACAAATCCCAATATTCCATTCATAACTCATACAGAATATGCGAACAAACCGATACATATCCAAGACAGTACTAAAAGAATGAAGAAAGCAACATAGAAAGAAAAAAAAAATATCCAAACTTTTCATTTAACAAACGATATCCGGAATAATGTTCAGCTGCCCGGCAATAATTTAGTTCGAATATTCAAACAGAATATGCAAACAAACCGATACATATCCAAGACAGTACTAAAAGAATGACGAAAGCAACATAAAAAAATAAAAAGAAAATGAAAAAAAGAAATCCGAACTTTACGTTTAACAATCGATATCCGGAATAATGTTCAGCTGCCCGGCAATAATTTAATTCGAATATTCAACCTTTTTTCCTTTTCCTTTTTTCTTACTCATTCTAACAGTTACTTCTTTTTATCTCTTGATTCTCTTCCATAAAGGAACAAAAGAACTACGCCAAAATAAAATAAATAGAGGAAGGGAATCAGAGGCAGCAGGACAATTAGAAAATCATTAGCTATTGATTAATATTTTTGCCCGGCATACAATTGCATTAACAGAACACATAGACAAATGATTATGAAGAACCTAACAAGAAAAAAAAAAGTAACTTACAATAACCATCCAATCCCCACGCCACAACAAGGAAGCCGCTCCTCTCTAAAAGGCCTTCCTTCATGAACAACATAACCTATAAAATCAACAGTTAATGGCGAATAATCAGAAAACGAGTTCAAAGGCAGTACTAATTACTGTTAGCGAAAATGTCAGGGTTTTTTTTCAGTATGGCTCTCAGGAATTATGATTACACCTTTCATTCTTATTCACCATACCTTCAGAAACATACTCAGAACTTCCATTTTCTACCATAATTACACTGATATAGACAATTTCAGCTGAAACCTCATAAGTAATCCAAACTATGAAAAGCAAAATGATTAATGTTGAGCATCTTTCATGACCGGCTCAATCCTAAACCACCGTTTTCGAGTCTCCACGGCAATTTTTCTAATCGACCACGTAAATTTATCAGCCCCAAATAGACAATTTACAAAGCATCCATATTTCATATAAGAAACTCAATATAATATCAAATTCATCTGATTCCCACCACCAAATAACACAAGTTTTTGAAATTACTATAAGCTTTCCTTATGTAATCATTCAGCTAAAAAAAAAAAAAAACATACAATTTATATCCAAAAAAATTAAAAACATGATTTTATTCTACAAAATAATTGGGCTACCATATTTCTCATTATAATCAGACAAAATTTTCACCGCAACAAAAAGGTAAATCTGATATTATTCTCAATAAAACAGTAAACGGAAGAGGAATTAGATTACCTGGAACCGGTTGGTATCCCTGATGATAATAATGCGGTACGGTGCCGGGAAACCCAGGAGGAGGCGCAGGCGGAGGAAAACCCATCACCGGGTGAGACGGCGGCGGAGGCCGAGGCTGGTAATTAGCCACGCCTTGAAAAGTGCCGTAATAGTAATTGGGCGGGGGCGGGGGCGGGCGCGGGAAATCGTCGCCGCCGGTCTCCGGTGGGCCTCTCGGCTTTCCTCCACCTTCTTCGCTCATCTTGCTTTTCTCCGATCAACTATGGAAGATCCGAACGCGAGAATTAGTGATTATTTTGTTGGGTCCCTTTGAAAACTAATCCGAATATAATTGGATTCTCTTCCTTCCTGTACCAGGTGAGGTGACCCCTAGCTTGACACGTTTGTTCGGAGCTGGGTCGCCGTCTTGTGATTGTCGTTCTAATCTTTTTCGTCTCTTTATTATTTATTTATTTATTTATTTATTTATTTTTCGGCTGTTACATAAACGTATAGGGGAATTTCGCAAGCGTTGTCATAAAATTGGCCCTTTTTTTTTCAAAAATAATTTTATAAATCAAAATGCACATAACGTCTGAATACACAGCAACTAACAGTTGAAAAAGAGGGAGGACGAGTCAGAAGACCGCCTTGAATCCCGGCTAGCAACGCTAGAATAAAAAACAAACGCTACAAAACTAGCCAACAACACAAACAACTAAAACAACTACAAAACCCCAACAGAGTAATACCTGAGTGTTGGGTATTACTAATTTCTATTTACTTGAATGCTTACTTTTTTTATGTTACAATTTTTACATTATATAGTGTATTTGATAAATGAGCTTATTTAAATGATAAATAGTTTAATTTTTGTTATAAAGATATATATATATATATATATATATATATACATATTCATTTCACAAAATATAGATGTGAAATCTAAGTTTGTCAATATACAACTAACCTGATAGATGATATATATCTTAACAAGTTATATTATATATATAATATACTAATTAATATGGTAAAATACAAAAATTATCAAATACAAAAATTATCTAAACATAATATTTTTTATAATGTATTAACTTCAATACAATTAATATTTTTTCAATGAAAAAAAATTAAAAAAAAAAAAATTATGCATAACAAGAAACCTATTTCATCATAATTTGAAAAATAAAATAAATAATGTCAAGGAAAAAGAACAGGCGCCTAGACGTGACTAACTTAGCAAGCAGTCAGTCGGCAGAGCGCCTACAAGGGCCGCCTAGCCCAAGTCATAGCGCTCGAGTATTGTCTAGCGGCTAAGCACAACTCGATTTCTAGAACACGAATTGACAAACATCATACAATCAACAATCAATCAACAAGTCGTTAGAATCTCACTAAGTGGGATCACTATATGGATCACATGTCGCCATCATGATTGATCAACGCAAATATCCTCATTTGAATTGTTCATTTTTTATATTCAACAACTAAATAATAATAAAAAAAAAATAATTAATCCAATCCAACTCATTTATGGATATCCATTTTTCTCTGTTATATTAATGAAGATGAATATAGGAATTACAGTCTACCATGAACATCAACGACACACAACACACAAGTTTTACCTATGAATTCTGAATAGCCTTATTGTAGACCGAGGGTACGATCTTAGGTACGGAAGAAAAGTCGACACCCGGACATTTTCGGTGAGGTCCGTGACCACGAGATTCGCCCCTTCGGCCAGCTCAACAAAACAATTGAAGGTGTCGATATTACGAATAACCGAGGCAAAATACGCGACACGGCCAAGTCCACCGTTAGGCAAAACACGTCCTGTCGTTTTTTCTTCTTGGGGGGCGCAAAATTCTCGACTATTGTTAATTTCAGAATCTGAATGACTGTTTTTCAAAAGGACAACCAACACCCGAACGAGATGAGGAAGATATGAAGGGTCGTAAATGATGTCAGCTCCTAAACTGTTAGAAAAAAAGAACATAAAAAGTTTACGAAAGTAAAATGAAATACAACATGTAATTGGATCAGAAAGTAGCAAAGTATAAGGCTATGTTTAGCAACCAAATAAGCTGGCTTATAGCTTATGTGGTTAGCTTATAAGCTTCGTTTGGTAGAACGAATTTTTTTAAAAAGTTCAAACTTATCTCATAAGTTTTCCTTGGGTAGCTTTTCAAATAAAGAAAATTTTATTTCAACCAACTTATCAGCTAATTTTACCACACTTTTATCATATAAGCTAGCTTTTCAGCCATAAGTCATAAGCTATAAGCTCGAAAAACACTTATAAGTTATAAGCTATCTTATGGCTAATTTTACCAAACATAGCCAAAGACTCACATTACGTCAGGGGCAAAACAACGGAGATCATCTTCTGATGCAGATTCCCATGGCAAACAAACAATATTCACCTATGACAATTGATATAGAAATCAGTACATGACTACCCTCAAACATTTTCCAACCAATAATATTCGAAACTAAGTTACATATTCACAAAAAAAAAAAAAA